CCGGAGGGCCCCACGCGGCGCTGCCTGTCGCGGAGGAGCGGCCGCTGCGGGGCCGTGTTTTGGGGCGGCGGTTCGGATGCACCCCCCGCGCTCAGACATTGCCTCTGAGACCAGTGTGTGCTGCACGAATTAATCGGTTTATTAAGGGTTGACACAAACTGAGGGATGATGTTTAGGGAAAATGCAAATGCAAATGGCTACCAGGGAGATGGATGGATAGATGGATGGATAGATTAGATAGATACGTGTGTGCTCTCCTCTGGGCTCCCCTGGCTTTCTCTGGCTGGGAAGCAAGAATGTGTCTGGTATAAACTTGAGATGAAACACTTGCAGTTTGCCAGCTATTGCAATTCTTATAAAGGAGCTCTATCAAAAATCAAATTGTCCTGAAAATCTAAAAACACATGAACGTAAGCAGTCTCAGTCCCTTATAAGCAAATAGATTTCTGGAAGGGAAACCAAAAGGTTACAGAGGCAGGCCACCTCTACATCAGAACAGTCTGCATTCATGCAAGGGTCAGTGTGTGCATGAAGCTGATTATTGATTTACACTTGAGTCAAAGCAGATTTTCAGGTATATGGTGGCCTGTTCCTTTCCCCTTCCTTTCTTGCTCCATCTCCCAGGATCAGCAATTGAACTGAATAACTATATGTTGAGCTTGTTCACAGAGGGCAGAAGTTGTTGGTGTGATGTATGGTCAGCTGCTTCCCACAGAGTCATAAAAGCATCCTGGTTGGAAAAGACCTTGAAGAGCATAGAATCCAACCATAACCTAAATCCACCAACCATCATCTAGGTCTACCCGTTCAGTACTCCCAGTGTGTCCCCCACTGGTCAGTGACCACCATATGGCTCTTGGAAGGAAACGGGCACTAAGGATAGAGAGGGAGGGTGGGAAGCCTTGGGACTGTCATCTCTCCAAGGGCAGAACTATTATGAATTTACTGGTGAGGAGAAAAATGCTGCTTGTGCTTTGGATGACATTGAGCCCCTGCAATACACCATGGTGTTCAGTGAGGTTAAATCCTAGACCTGGTACTGCTGCGATTTCCTCTCTTTCCCCTTTGTCCTGATGTGGTCAGTACACTTGTTAAGCAAACACCCTCCAGTCGGCATCCTCATCAGCAGGTGGGCTCACAACAGCTTGTCAGATCAGGCCTTGTGCTCAAGTCTGAAGAAGGACTCTGTCCCCTTAACGTGGGGAAGTTGTGAACACGTGAAACTTCTGCATTTGGCATTTCTGGACCTGGCTGATAGCTGTACATTGGATAAATAAACAGAAGCTTCAGCTGTTTTAAACTGTTTGCTGGCTTGCAGTGATGCAATGACTTCAATCCCTTCTATTAGTCTCTAGGCAAACTAAGAAACATTTGCTTCCCTGACTCTTGAGGATGACCCAAAGTCTGGCTCAGACAGGCTAAAAAGAGTTATTGTAGACTGGTGCTCAAAATCCTGCATGCTTGCCATGTTTAAGCTTATGTTTGCTGCTTCTTTTGAAATGCAGCAGGAAAGAAGTCTATTTTTCACTTAGCAAAATTCCTGTTATCTTGTTCCATTTAATTGGAGCAACTTGATGTTTTTTGAAGTGGTATGATTTAGAGTAGATATTTGGCAATCTTAAATTTGGTGTTTCCTTTCTAGTTTTATGTGTTTACAAATGTCTTTTAATATTTCTTTCGATAGTGATTTGTGAGCGCGGTGCTGTGACAGGTAGTAGAACAGACAGCTTTTATTTTTCTGTTTGAATTCTCTTTTCCTGGACCAAAACCCTAGGATTGCTGATGTTCCTTTTCATGGGCATATGAAGCAACACTGCTTCCACTGAGTAGCTGTTTTCTCTTAAAGAAAGCTGCAGAATTAATGCAATTGCCAGTGTATGACTCTGGTGACCCCTGACCTCTTCCATTGACTACCAACAGTTAAAAGATGAAGAGGTGAGTATGTGCCCTGTGCTGTCACAGCAGCTCCCTTTGAAAGGAGGTCATTAATTTTATTTCTTGGCTGAAGAGTTGTGTGAGACTATATGCTTTGTTTTCAAGCTGAGAACAAACTCTTTAAGTAGTTCCCCTACTCTGAGCACCCGCTGAGTGACAGGCTGGCTGTAAGAGCTTGGGGGTTTGTATGAACAAAAAGCATTTTGGAAATGCACTTTTTAACCATAGGTTTTTGACCAGTGTTAACGCAGACCAGGAACTGGACCAGTTTGGACTGCTGTGGTTGTAAGTTATTTTGATAATGCAACTTAGACTGCCAGCATTCATCCTGATTAAACTTAGAAGTGGTTCTGCTTAGCAAAACGTCTGCAAATTCTTCTCCCTGCTTCCATTTTATCTTATGTTGTTGTTAGCTAAATTGAATGTTTTCCAGGGCATCTGGAGGACGTTTGGGAATAATGGGTGCTGAAGGCAGCTGCATGTATCTAGTAGTGAAACATGCTAATGTAGGAACTCCTGTCATGGCCTTGCTCTGCAAGTGACTCCAGAAGAAAAGATAGAGATGAGAAAAAATCACCGGTCTGATAGTCATAGGATATTCATTAGTAAATTCAATAGAAATATAGCCTAATAAAAATTTACTAAAATAATGAATTTGCTATACTAAGGGTTGCTTTTAAAACAATGTGCTTTGTGAAACTATCAGTCAACTATGCCAAGCATCCTGTAGGTTGTGATAACATCAAGTCTTCTAAGAACCTGTGGCCCTACAGACAACACTCATGTTGGTTCTGACCCACCTGGGCAATCTACCAGCAGGAGACTGGAGACAGGACCAGGAGGAGAGACAGGACAAAGATGACAAAGGACTAGAATCAACAAAGACCCCCACAGGAGACGCTCGAGCAGGCATAATTACAAAGATAGCAAATTTCAGGAAATAAAACTACTATGTAAAAGAATTCTGGGAACTCATTGACTTGGAACTGAACATGCCTGTTTTTTGGTGTATATTAGGGGATCATTCGACTCATATTCTTGGTATTTGCACTTGCTTTGGAGACAGCTAATTTATCACCAGCAATCCAAATAAGTTGCTTCAATAAGTCTCACTGTTGTTTGACTGCTCTGAGAAGGAGTTTAGAGAGCAAGGGGGTCCAGTCTGAACCTCGTGACTGGTTGGGAGCAGCAGTTAGTGTGGGAGGGGAGCGGGTCAGATCTGGAAGGTGCCTTGGCTTGCCCAGATGGGGCTCCCTAGCTGGGTTTTCTTCTTCTAGCTGTAGTTAGGAGGTATATGCAAAAGGCAGAG